GGGGCGGGGTCCGGGATGTGCTGCCGCGCGGGGGCGCGCTCACCCAACACTTCCCCACAGTGCGCATCGCCGCTACCCGGGCTCCGGACGCAGGACGTCTGCTGCCGAGGGGCTGGCCTGGCTTGGGGTGTTCACGACTGCCAGCCGTGTTCGGGGTACCTGGGTAAGCCTGAGACACCCCGAGGTGCTCGGAGAGGGTAGCGGTGAAACCCCCCTGCGCCCTGTGCCCTACCGGTAAATCCTAGACACGCCCACCTCCTAGCATGGACCATTTCCAGTCTAGACCATTCGGATAGGGGGACCCCCTTCTCCGTCCACTTACTGACTTTGGCTACTCAGGCCTCACCCTGCGTTGACCCCACTCGGGCGCTTCTGAAGCTCCCTCGTTTCCTTCTGTCCCACTGGTCAGTCTGGGGCTGGCCTTGCATTCAGGTCACACCCGGCACCTTTTAACCCTTCTCGCCTCTTTGGTCCCCCGGCATTCGTTTCTGGGTTCGCTAGTCCCTGGTCCACACTCTCTTCACTTCACAGGCAACTCCAACAGTTTGGGCGCCCTTGATGGACCTTGTCCAGCCGGTTTTGAAAGAGTGAATGGGTCCTGCGAAGGTGAGATGGAGGAGAGGCTTGACTTTGGGGGCTCCGTTTGGCAGGGAGCTGGCTTCCCAGGCCAACGCTAGCCCTCGTCCCGCAGACGTGGATGAGTGCGCGACAGGTGGGCGCTGCCAGCACGGAGAGTGTGCCAACACGCGCGGTGGGTACACCTGCGTGTGTCCCGACGGCTTCCTGCTCGACTCCTCCCGCAGCAGCTGCATCTGTGAGTCCCCGGGAGGCAGCTGAGGGGGTCCCTGGTCTAGCCGGCCGGCCGTCAGGCGCCACCCCAGAGCACCCCTGGACCTTTCTTTCTGTAGACACCCTCCTACCCGCTCCGCGCCAGGCTCCCAAGTTCCTCCACTGACTTTCACACTGTCCGCACAACATCGTTGATCCTCACGCACACACAGTCCCTGGATCATCTTTTTTTTTCTTTTAAAGATTTATTTATTTATACAGAACTGGGGTATAGGCCAGAGGCGCGGGGTGGTGAGAAGCTTCACCAGAGACAGAGTGGGGAGCAGAACAGGCAGATGGAGGAAGTACACTGCTGAGGGGAGCAGCGGGC